TGCCTAGTGGTCGAAATATGACCGTAATCATTATTAAAAGAAAAGAGAATAAAAGATTTAAAAAAAAGAACGGCTTCCGTGCACTAAAACGTAAAAAATAACTGAACGGGGGTTTTCGTTTACAACAGATACCTACTCAGATATTTTCAAAGTAGGTGAAATCCGATATATCTAATAGGTAAAAAATAAGGCTGGCAACGACTTCGAAAATATCTGATTAGGTATCTATTCTAAATGAAAACTCTCGTTTAATTATTTTTTATAGTTTAATGCCTGGAAGTCGGTTATTTTTAGTTTTTATTTTTCCGTTTTTAGTGTAGACGTAATAAGCAGGTAATGTGTAAGAAGAAAGTTTTTTATTAATAACATATTCGATTAAGCAATTTATTTAAAAATATATATTTATTGATGATTTTGTAAAAACCGCTCGACCGATCTTTGATAAAATTTATATGGGACTATCTGGGAAGTAAGCCCTTCGAAACAAAAAAAGTAAATTAAATCACTTCAGGCGTCTTCGAGTAATCGGTGAAAATACATTAAAAAAATATTCAGACGAATTGAGAACCTCCTCCTTTTAGGAAGTCGGTTAAAAAAGAGAACAAGTTGACAAAAGAACACAGTATTATGCAGTTGGAGACTTACATATACTTAGAATAGCTTCGTGTATGTCTATGTCTCCGACTGCATTATGCTATGTTCCTTGGTCAACTTGTTCTTTTTAATTCACTTTATAGGTAGTCGGATTTTTATATTTTTGTAAACATTTTTTTACTAACAGCTTTTTAGTGGTCACTTAGACATTTTTAGTTTTGTTTAACAATTTCTTTTTCTAATTAAAATTAAAAAACATATAAGTTGAATATATTTCTTAATCGCCTCCTTTGGGTCTTCGCCCCACTCGGGTGAACTGCAGAACTAATATATAGAAAAGAAAGATTAAGTACAGAAACTACGGTATATAATATATATGTATGTATACTAGCAGTATCCGCGACTTCGCCCGCGTCCAAATTTCCGATCGCTAACAAAATTCACAGAATCACCCGCTGGGCTAATCTGAAGATTACATGAAAATTTCATCAAAATCGCTCCGGCTGTTTTGGACTACATAGGAAACATACATACACACCGATTATTATTTTATTTAATCGACAATTTAAATTTATTTATTGCTCGGAAAATGGAGTCTTTTATGAAAATTTAGTGACACACCAACTGCAGCGCCACCTACCGGATTCATTTGTGAATTCAAACCTTTTACAGGGACCTACTCAAACATGCACAAAAAATATCATTAACATCGTCCCTGCCGTTTAGAAGACGATCAGTAGCAAAATCGATTGCAACGCCACCTACCGGGTCCATTTGTATTTTGAAACCATTCAGGAACCTATTAAAATGACTTACTTGACTTATGTTCCTATGTCCCCTAGGTGAGGCAGAGGGCGTCCACAGTGCATCGCCATCCCGTTCGGTCTTGAGCTAGGCGTTTCATTTCGCTCCAGGTTTTCCCGATGGCCTTCGCTTCGCCAATGACTGTCCGCCGCCAGGTTTGTTTAGGACGGCCGCGTATGCGTTTTCCTTGGGGATTCCAGTCTAGGGCTTGCCTCGGTATATGGTTTGGATCCCTTCGGAGAGTGTGACCTATCCAGCGCCATTTACGGCGTTTGATCTGCTGAGTGATCGGGACTTCATTGCAGTGTTCCCAAAGTTGCTCGTTGGAAATTTTGACGGGCCAGTAAATACCGAGAATTTTGCGAAGGCATCGGTTCACGAAGACTTGGAGTTGCTGCGAGATGTTCTTAGTGACCTTCCACGTCTCACACCCGTATAACAGTACGGTCTTGACGTTGGACCGGAAGATTTTGAGCTTGATTCTCCGAGTCAATTTCCGTGATTGCCATACGGGCCGAAGCTGTGCGAAGGTTGCTCGCGCTTTGGCAATTCTCGAAGCGATGTCCTCCTCGGTTCCTCCCGCTTCTGACACGCAACTCCCGAGGTATGTGAATTTGTGGACGCGTTCCACTACCTCTGTGCCGATGACCAACGGGGATGCACTCGTTGCTCTGTACCTCATCTCCTGGGTCTTCCTTGCATTAATTTTGAGCCCTGTATTTGCTGCCTCCTTTCGTAGGTCGTCCAATTTGGTCTGCATGTCTGCGCGAGTGTGACTTAAGAGGCATATGTCATCTGCATAGTCCAAATCTTCTAGGGTGTTAGTTGTGCCCCATTCTATACCGCGGCGCTTGTTTTCCGTGGTGCTATGCAGAATGCCATCAAGGACGACAAGGAAGAGAAGTGGCGAAAGCAGACACCCCTGTTTTACGCCTGCATGTACCGCTATGTCCTCCGAGACGAGCCCATTATGCGTCACTTTGCATGAGTAATTCTTGTATAAAGCTCGTGTGATGTTGATTATTTTCTCGGGGACACCAATTTTGCGTAGTCGGGACCAGATGCTGGCCCACCTCACCGTATCAAAGGCCTTTTCAAAGTCTACAAAAGTAAGATATATCTCCCTTTGCCATTCTGTTGCCTCCTCCAGTATGATGCGAAGGGTGTTGATCTGGTCTGTACACGATCGATTGGGTCGGAATCCTGCTTGCTCTCTGCGTATGAGAGGATCTACGGCCTTCGATAGCCTATCCAGAATGACTTTGCAGAGCACCTTAGACGGGATCGAAAGCAAAGTAATACCTCTACAGTTACTGCATTGACTGAGGTCTCCCTTTTTTGGCACGGTGATAAGCAGGCCTTTGTTCCAATCGTCTGGTAGCTCTTCTTTCTGCCAAATGTGCTGTAGTAGAGGCGTCAGGGCGTTTGCAGCTGTAGCAATGTCTACTTTCAGCATCTCGGCAGTGATTAGGTCGATTCCTGGGGCCTTTCCATTTTTGAGCGAGCGAATGGCGTGAATTACTTCACCTCCAGTCGGTGGGGAACAGTCAATGTTTAGGCTTTGCAGAGGCAAATTGTCTTCGGGCATAGCATTAACAGGGTCGTTTGTAACATGGAAGATTTCCTCGAAGTGTTCTTGCCAGCGTCGCAGTTGTCCTTCCGATGTCGCAATAAGTTGGCCCTCCTTGTTCTTCAATGGCTTCTTCCTCGCACTTCGTTTTCCTGTCAGAACCCTCGTGGCTTTGTACATCTCCTTCAGATTGCCGACATCCGCTGCTCTTTGAGCTCCATCAGCAATTCCATCAGTCCACACTCTTCTATCTCGACGGGTGCTGCGATAGATACTCTTGCGGATTTGCCGGTATTGCAGTTTGAGATCTTCCTGCACATTTTCGTCACTCGGGGTAATAAGTTTTAGGTGGAGTTCTCGTCGTTGCGCAATGAGATCCCAAGTTTTTTGCGACATCCACTCTTCTATTGCGTGTGTTTTATGTCCGAGAACGACGGAGCTGGTCTCTGTATAAACCATTTTGATGCGATTCCACTCCGCGTCGACTGTTGTAGGGTTCGCATCGAGAACAGAGAATCTATTTTGGAGCTCCAGTTTAAAAGTGTCGCTGATATCTGGGTTCATCAGTTTGCTGACATCAAAACGTCGGCTTGTCTTTACCGTGTCGATTTTCGCACGGGATGCCGATACTTTCAGTCGCACTTCTGCAACTAAAAGGTGGTGGTCGCTATCGATATCAGCGCCTCTGCGGTTTCGTACATCTAGCAATGACGTCCGCCATTTAGAACTGATGGTCAGGTGATCGATTTGGTTCTTGGTAATGCCGTCGGGTGAGTTCCATGTGTACTTGTGGTGATCTCCATGTATGAATAAAGTTCCTCCGATGGTTAGGTCATTATTCTGGCAAAATTCCAAGAAACGTTCTCCATTCTCGTTGCGTACTCCTAGCCCGTACTTGCCCATATGTCTCTCACAGCCAGCGTTGTCTGTACCAACCTTTGCATTTAAATCACCCATGACGAAGACTATGTCCTGTCTGCGGATGTTCTTGAGTGTGGCGTTCAAAGTACTATAGAAATCGTCTTTAAGCTCATCGCTTGCGCTGTTGGTAGGCGCGTAGCATTGGACGACGCTGATTTTCCGGGCTCTGCTGTGGAAACGGGCTGTGATGATTCGATCTGAGATCGGTTTCCAGTCCAAAAGACCTTTTTTCGCTACGTCCGACAGGAGAAGTCCCACGCCGTGTTCTCGGGTGTCGTCTTCATTCTCCTTACCGGAATAGAGCAGTGTGAGTCCTTTCGACGTTCTCAGTTCCCCGAATCCATTCCTACGAACTTCACTGAGGCCGAGTATTTGCAGTCTGTATCGTAGCATTTCTGTTTCTGCTTGGGCTAGTCGGCTATCGTCACTCAGCGTTCGCACATTCCAGCAAGCAATTCGTGTCCGAGTTTTCATGCCAAAAGTCGTCGGTTTAAGATCGGTCCGGTTTTGCACTATTTTCGTTTCAACAATCTCATTTATTTCAGGTAAGCGAGTGATTAGCCCACTATACCCTAGCCCGTAGGTGGGGGTGCCACCTCGGAGCCAACGGGCAGGCTCGGTTTTATTCGGGTATCCTCCCTAGTGAGTAAATTCTGTTATAAGGCGCAGAATGATCGCCTTTCGCCCTGCATCCTCTGCTCATCTGCATCCCAAAGGTGGCGGTCACGCGACGGCGCGGGTGCAGTAGTCTCCAGGGGGACGAGCGGGGACGTGGATGACGCGGACTGGCTAGGGCTCTGCTTTAAGACGGTGTTCCGCCACGAACACAGCAGCCGGTTTCTTGGCATTTTGTAGGCAATGCTGTTCTCACTATCAGCGATTCCCACCAAGACCATACCCTAGCTTCCCCCCCTATTAAAATATACACAAAAAATTTAATCCAATTCGGTCCAGTCCTTTAGGAGAAGTAGGTTAACAAGCACACATACAGAAGAATTATATATATATATATATACATATATATATATATATATACATATATATATATATATATATATATATATATATATACTTTTATAAATAAATATTTTTCAGAATCATGACACTAAGTATGGATGGTAAAACAAAATCATTTGATAGTAATCCCGCTGGATGTTCTAAGTCGGAGTCAATCAATATCCTTTTCTTGCAAAAAGCTAAAGATGCACTGAGGTATGCTTCCATGTTGACATAACTGTTTACGTTCAGAAAATCAAAAAATAAATTAACCTTAACAAACAAAATTATCATTTTATCCATTTGTTTACGAGTGAAAATAGTAAAAAAAACAACTTACCACATATTTCAGAGTTTATGCAGAAGTTGTTTATATTAAATGTGAGTTTACTCATCTAGAAGAAGGTGAAAGTAGTTCAAAATACGGTTTCTACAGAAATCCTACTATTTCGGCTGATTTTATAAAAAAATTCTATCAAGAAGCTGACGTTTCACCAGATGTCGTGGAATATGTTGAAGCGGTTGGTTCAGGTAAAATAGTTATATAAATAGCACATAAATCTACGTAACATAAATTCAATATTTTTATAGATAATTGAATTATAACATTTATATTTAATTATACTTTTTACAGCTGTTGCTGAAGCTGATAAATCAGAATTACAGTCGATTGGTGAAGTTTTTTGCAAAAATAGAAGAGATCCTCTAAAAGTGGGAAGTGTCATGTCTAACATTGGGTATACAGATGCTGCTTCAGGGATATGCGCCATTACTAAAGTAAGCTTACGAATTAAAACAATAAAATTAAAGTGTAACTCATTTTTGGTTATTATTGAGAAATTTTGTATTAAAAAAAATAGGTTCTCCTGGCTTATCATACTGGAAAGATTGCAGCAAATTTACATTGTGATTCACCTAGGCAAGATGTTGCGGCACTCCGTGATGGTCGAATGTGCATTGTCACAGATCACATGGACTTCAACCACTCATACACCGCTGTAAACGGCCTGTCGGTAACAGGCATCAACTCACATATCTTACTAAAAGGCCATTATAAGCAAAAGGTATATTAGGTCACCTCACTTTTAATTTTTAATGAGTCTTTCCAAAATACCTTACAGATAGCAACTCTGTCTTATTGATTATTAATTTACTTATTAGATTTTTAATATGCTAATTTAGTTCTTAATATGCTAAAAAATGTCAAATTTGTATGTGAATAACATAAAAAATATAATACATATTTCGTTATTTACAAAATAAATCAGCCTATCATATTCCATAGTTTTAAGGAAAATAAACTTATCATAAATAGTAGCTACTTTGCGAATTTTGTTGTACTTGATATGGTACGATTATTGATTAAGATGCATTTTATATCCATTGCAAATAAAGTAGCAGGAATTTGCTGATAGTTAATGGATAAAAATAAAGTTTAATTTATTTTAGTTCTCTTATGTAAATATTTTTAATGTAAAATTCATTAAAAGATGATTTTTTGCGTATATTAATAATTAATAAAGTAATTAAATATTTTAATATTCCGTTTAAGGATCTATCTCGTTACAAGGCTACTATTCCACAATTAGTGACACTCTCAGGAAGACAAGAATCATCAGTAATAAAAATAATGAACGATTTAAAAACACGTCCCGTTGATCCCGAGGAGTTAGCTTTACTCCGAAATATTCACAAAAGTAGAATTTTAGGACACTTAGGTAGAGGATACATGGTCCTTGGTAAGTTATATTAACATTCTCTTTAATAACTGGCGTTTTTTTTTTCAATAATTCCTTGAATATTATAATATATTAATCATTATAATATATATTGATCATTATATCTCTTTATACTTAAGATACAAATGAGGAAGGTAAAACGGTTAGTTTATGTCAAAAAATTAACTACTTCGATGATCTCAAGCGACCACTTTGGTTCATGTACAGTGGAATGGGATCTCAATGGGCAGGAATGGGAACAGAACTTATGCGCATACCAGTTTTTGCTGCAGCTATCGAACGGTAAATAAAATATTACATAAAAAAATAATACTCTTCATACAACAAACTAAAATTACAAAAAAAAAATGAATTTATTTATATGTTACAGTTGTCGTCGAGCTCTTGAACCTAAAGGAATTGATATAGTACATATCATAACTTCCACAGAAAAAACAATATTTGATAATATCTTACACTGCTTTGTTGGAATAGCAGCAATTCAAATAGGGCTTACCGATGTTTTAAGAGAATTGGAGATTTTCCCTGATATGATTATAGGTATTTAATGTTTTTTTTTTATACTTTCCAATGAACTTTTTACTTCTTTTGTTATTACTTCATCTTAAAAACTCAGTTTAAATTTAAATGATATACCTAAAAACATGTTAGAAGATTATTCTGAAATTAAAATAATTTTAAATCTTTAACAGGACACAGTGTGGGGGAATTAGGATGTGCATACGCTGATGGTTGTTTTACTGCTGAAGAGATGATTTTATCTGCTTATAGTCGTGGTTTAGTATCTTTGCGAACACCATTCATAAAAGGATCAATGGCTGCCGTCGGCGTTGGATACCAACAGGTAAAAATAACGACATTAAAAACTATTTTTTTTAAACTTAATATTCCAGTATTTTTAATACAATTAACTCATATTAATATTTCTTTGTTATAGATGGTTAAAATGTGCCCTCCAGAAATAGAAGTAGCATGCCATAACGGTCCTAACTCGAGTACTATCTCAGGACCAGCGAGTATAATGGAAGAATTTGTAGCCCAATTAACTTCCAAAGGTATTTTCGCTAAGGAGGTGCCATGCTCAAATATTGCATATCACTCGCGCTATATTGCTGAAGCAGGTAAAGTATCCAAATTATAATAGCTTATTTATTTACATACATACATGTAAATATTTAAATTCAAATAAATATGAGTTAAATATTTCTTATGCAAAATTTTATCTTATTTTTTTTAAGGTCCCGGTCTACTTAAATATTTATCTGAAATCATCAAATCTCCCAAGCTTCGTAGTGAAAAATGGGTATCAACTTCCGTACCAAAAGAAAGATGGGGAGAAGAAATTGCTAAGTACTCTTCAGCTGAGTATCATACAAATAATTTATTGGTTAGTAATATTCTGTATTAGGAAAAATTTAGTTTCAATTATGATAAAATAAAAAGAATTTGAATTATGTAAAAAACTAGCAGCTCACCCTCGCTTAGCTCGGGTTCGCCTCTAGAAAAGCACAAACAGATCTATCCCACGGGAACCGTTTATTTTTTCGGGTTAAAAAGTAACTTGTTGTTTGACCGGCAATATAATTTTTACTACATTAGGTTCATAAGTTGTTGTCTGTATAAGTTACTATAGATTTTTAATTGTCCCACGGGAATCCTTTAATTTTCCGGGATAAAAAGTATCTAAAATATTGACCGAAGATATAAGGTACCACCAGACAAAATTTCATTCAAATTGAATTTATAGTTTTGGAGAGTAGGCCGTACAAACAGACAGACAGAGAAATAAAAAAAATGGAAAAGTCTGGATTTGTTCTATTTCTCTTCTTACATCCCCTGACTCGATTTATAGCATTTTTTCTACGTACAGACATTCGACCTCTACAGTTTTATTATATGTATAGATAATAATAAATTAAAAGTTTTATATTATTAACATATGAAATAATATTAATGGCAGAATTCGGTGCTCTTTGAGGAGACGTCCCAGTTAATCCCAGCTAATGCAGTGGTGATCGAGATCGCTCCACATGGTTTGTTACAAGCTATCGTCAGGCGGTCGCTACCTGATTCATGTCAGCACATACCACTCACTAGGCGTGGACACGTGGACAATGCGCTATTCTTGCTAGAAGCTATAGGAAAGTTAGTTATATTAATTTAATTTTTAATAAAATGTAAATATTTGATGTCGATAATATGTCAGTATTATTATTATTATTATTATAAGCCTGTAGTGTCCCACTGCAGGGAAAAGGCCTCCCTACTCTTCCTCCACTGCTCCCTATCATTTGCCATAATAAGCCACTCTCTTTGAAAGGAGTCTAACTCATCCCGCCATCTCCGTTTCGGCCTACCACGCTGTCGTCTGCTGTGTTGGGTTATCAGTATTTATTTAATTAATATATATTTCTCAGACTTTATATGGAAGGATTTAATCCTAAAGTGGAAGCTCTGTATCCTAAAGTCGAGTATCCTGTTTCGACTGGAACACCAATGTTGTCACATTTAGTGGAATGGGCTCATCATGAAAAATGGTAAATATTTAATTTAATTTATTATAATTAATGTTTTGTGAAGCAGACTAACCATTAATGACAACTGCTAGTAGTAGCTCTAATTTGAATTTCAAAATCGAATTATGTTTGACTTAGCTTTTAGTATTATGACAATTTACTTTTAGTATTATGACAATTTATAAAGTTATTTTTTTATATATGTAATTTATGTTACCGGCCAAACCCGATTTCAGGCCAAACTAGTTATTCGGCTGCAGTTTACATAGTATATTGGACGCGACCTCTGGAAGAGTAGGTGGTATTATTATGTGACAGGCCCGACTTGGACAATGTAGGTTGAGAAGGCTAACAAAAGCTAGTGAAGCGTAGCGTAGTTCCCGCTTTAGCCTTCTGCATAGGTCTTTATTTTTATAGAGTATAATAAAAGTAAGCGGACAATATTTTAAGATACGAATATCTAATAGGTTTTGTATTTTACGTATCGAAATATATTAGATTTCCTATGCGTCGGCTGGACCGACTTCGAAAATATCTGATTAGGTATCTATTCTAAATAAAAACTCCCATTTAGTTATTTTTTACATTTTAGTGCCTGGAAGTCGGTTTTTTTAAGTTTTTATTATTTGCAACGATTCAATCATTACGGCCTAGATCAAACTAGTTAAGGCTAAATTATTAGGGCTAACTAGATTATCCCGGTTTAAACTAGTATATCCTGACACACTTAGGATGAGTCGCTTTGGCGTAAGACAAACTAGTTTGGCCTGAAATCGGGTTTAGCCCATATCATAAATTAGATAGATATAATATTAATATGTATACTGTATTGATAATATCTTCAAACTTTCATAAGTACTGACATAACTTATATAAGGGAATACTTAGCACGTATTTCAATATATTTTTAAAGTTTAATATATAATACAATAAACAAAATAAATGTTACAGGACTTTACCTTTATTTACATCAGCGCAAAGAAAAATAGCAGCCGCTATAAAATTTGTAATATCCACGTATGATGACGATCACGCATATTTAAAAGGCCATGTCATAAGAGGTGATATTATAAAAAAAATATTTCCTTTTTTAAATATCATAATTTGAAACTTCTGTTAATAATAATATAATATTTCTAATTGTGTGAATAATAACATTAATCTTTAATTTTAGAAAAGAACTTGTATCCATTTTCTGGAGCACTCGTAGGAGTTTGGGACACATTAGCGATGATTTTAGGAGTAGAGAAGAAACAGCTGTCTGTTCAGTTTACTGATATACAATTCTTTACACAACCAATTCTTTATAAACAGCGAAACTTGCGTTTAAATATAGCTTTACATAGAGGAAATGGCCGTTTTGAAGTAAGCTTGTCTTATGATTTAAATATCGTTCAATTGATTTATGTTATGGTTCTTCTAAATAACTTAATATATTAATAATCTACAATTTTCTTATAATTTAGGTATTAGATGAAAGTACTACAATCGTAAAAGGTTATATAACTGGAGAATTAAAAGAAGACAAACAATACAAAGTTAATTTAAATTGTAAGGAAGAAATGCAACTTAAATCGGATGATATTTATAAACTCTTTTCTATAAGGGATTATAATTATTCGTAAGTAACCTATCATATTAAAGGAATATTTTAAAATTGTGCAACAGCTTCTTTAAAAAAACTTTAATTTACAGGGGTGTATTTCGTAGTATTTACAATGCTAGTTTGTCATTGTCTGAAGCTAATATAAAATGGGAAGACAATTGGGTGGCCATGATTGACAGTATGCTCCAATTAAATGCGCTCAGAAGAATTCATGAAACAGTTTCTCAGCCACATTTTATAAGAAAAATAATAATTAACGTAAATGAGCATTTTGATGAAATGTATGAAATAGATGGAATAAAAGTTACACCTGCGAGGATATTTGATGTTCACGATTATACGAGGTATGATATGATATACATACATATTTATGGGTATGATTCTTTATTTTGCGTTTCTTTTTCCTGTAATTTATATTTTATCAATATTCATATAACAATATTTGTTTTAGATGCGGTGGTATAATCATGCATAATATAAGATTTCATGATTTGCCAACTGTCTATAAAAATGTTGGACTAAAAACCCTAAAATTTATTCCACACTTTTCTACAAACACCATCGATGTATGTATAAAAATAACATTTGTTTATTAACACAGGTGCATTTTCCATAAGAATTATAAATACTATATTATTTTTCAGAAAGCGTCAGCACTCTCTACTTATATACAAATATCTGCAGAAAATTTAAATAAACACGATTTAAATATTATGGAAATTATTGAAAATAGTGTCTCTGAATTTGTTGATACTAATCAAATTCTCACTGAAATTCCTGGAATACAGGCAAATTATTCAGTTATTACAAGAGATAGACTTAAAACAAGTCATATTGCTTCATTGGGTGAAATCGATTTGCTGTTAGTGTCAAATCTATTTGATAAAGATGATGTAAGTTGGCATTATATTTTTGTATCAACGACGTCTCGCCTTGGCGCCACACATAGATTTAGACAATCAAAATTATTGTAAAAAATTCTCTCTTGAGACCCTGCATCTATATTATTGCAAGCCTACAAGAAACATACAGACATATATTGGTCATACAGTCGCTTTGTCGCTGTTCTAAATGAGAAAATTAAATAAAACTTTGTTGTATTTTCATATTTTACAGAGTGGTAATTGTCTTGAGGCTAACGCTCAGTTTATTGTCTATGTATATGGCTATATTTACTATACTTAATATTTTAATTTTAATGTCTATTAATTGTTGGTTTCGCACAATTCCACAGTTATGTCAAATGCTACACCGAGTTCTTAGATGCGATACTTTTGTGGTTAACTATGGGAAGTATAAAGCAGAAATTTCGAGGGATCGTCCATCATCTCTATACCAAAGTATTTGTACACATACAATAGGGTCAACAGTTCTAGAACTAGTGTTGTGGCGTCCCACTGAATCAAAAGTTGGTACTAGTGCTGTAACAGTTTACACCGAATCTGATTTTGCTCTACTTAATTCAAGAATAACAGCAATACCATTAAATCAAAAGCTTGTGATATTAACCTCGTATCCTCCATTAGCTTCTTTAAAAACAGCAGTGAAGAAATGGAGAAAAAAGGATAACCGCAAAATTAATCTAATCATGAATAATGAGTTTTTCAGTACCTCGAATCTGGATAAAATACCACTAACTGACATAGCCGTTAATATTTTGCATAAAGTAAGTTTCTTTATTCATTAGATAAATCCCACAACATATTATATTATCTATACACATAAATATTGAAGTGTCTGTTTGTAATATCGAAATAAAAGCTTTTTACTAAACGTATATGAAATTATATACGGTACTTATAAGAAAAACACAATTTTTAAAATTTTTGTCTGTCTATCTGTTTGTTCCGGCTAATATCCAAACGTTTGAGCTTTCACTGGCAGATAACTGATGTTATAAGGAGTAACTTTGCTACTTTAGACTGTAGCATTAGTCATCGATTATTTTTATTTGTTTATGACATTTCAGACCGGCTAGTAAAACTTTTAGAAATAATGTTAGGATTATAGGATTAAACACTTTTTGTCGTATTTCTTGTTATGATAGAAATGCAATTCAATTAACAATTGTTGAATTTAAGGGCGCGTGGGGCGGAGAATATTACTTACCTGCAAAAGAAATTTCAAGCAAAGAAGGACTCGGATTAGAGCTTAATATTAGACAGTTAGGTGACCTAGACTCCTTGCATTGGACAGAATTACCGGAGCCTAGAGGCGCAGGCATAAATGTAAAGGTAAAATTAAATACACTCGCCGGCATATTTATTAAAAAAATATGGTTTTATTTTAAAATCTACTTACTACACTTATTTTGTTATTTAAAGTTTCATTTGTTTTACTTAAAATGAGATCACATGAAGAACACAATTTGCGAGTAAAGGCTAATTGTGAAAAATGGTACATTTTTGAACTTTTCATATAACCGGCAAAAGTGAAAATTAATATTAAAATAACAATTAATTAAATTAGAAAAATGGTGAATAATATCGCGTATTTCCTCCACCTGTTCTTATTAAAGTTTCTATCCGTCTAGGCATACTGAGAATGATGTTATCGATGGTCTCCTGGGATAGTCTCCGCCATTCCTCAACTACGGCGATTCGCAGTTCACCCACGTTGGCAGGAGCTGGAATTCTGGACTTAATTTTCTTTTCAGCAAGTCCCAAACGTGCTCTATTGGGTTCATATCTGGTGATCTCGCCGGCCACTCCATAACAGTGATATTCATATCTTTAAGATAAGCTTGAATTACCCGAGCGGTATGCGGCCGAGCATTATCCTGCATAAAAACAAAATCGTCACCGATATATGGGGCAAACGGTACGAAATTTTCTTCTAAAACTTCTCTGATATAGCGGTATGCAGTCAGACTCCCTCTGTCAATCACTACCAAGTCTGTGCGAGCTCCCAAACAAATGCCCATCCAAACCATTATTGATCCACCACCATATGCAACTGTAGTTTCAAAGTTTGTCTGAATGTATCGTTCTCCTTTGCGTCTGTATATTCTTTGCCTGCCGTCAATTTGATTTAAGAGAATTCTGCACTCATTACTAAACAATACCTTACTCCATTGGTCCGCGTTCCCAAGTCGATGTTCCTGAGCAAAAGTTAACCTGTTTCTACGATGATTTACCTCGAGCCTTGGAGCCTTGGTGGGCACAAATGAACCCAAACCAGCTTCTTCGAACCTTCTTCGTTCCGTACGCTCACTTATGGTTACACCCCGCACTGCTTCTAACTCATGCCGGGCTTGGACGGCTGTCAAACGGGGGTTTCTACGTACACGAAGCCGAATGAAACGATCATCCCTACTCGAAATGCGTCTTCTTCTGCCTTGTCCTGCTCTTCTCACATAAGTAGCGGTCTCCCTGAACCGTTGGATGCTGCGATGGATCGTTGAAACTGGTCGACAAAGATCTCTGGATATCACTCTGTAGGTTTGACCATTTCTTCGCATTTCGAGTGCCCTGGCAATCTCTGTTGGGTCTAAGTCAGGCATAATTCAGTCCTCAACTCCAAAAAGATACGCGATTAAAAAAACTAACAAAAAACAGTATTTCAATGAAATTTTAAATCAAACTCAGAAGGAAGAAATACTCGAAATTCGCTCCAGATAAGGTGTATTTGAATAAAATTAAAACAATTGCATAAAATGTGATGTTCAGTTATTTTCTTAATTTGAAAATATTTCTTTTTAAATTAAATGACGTATAAACCAGCCAGCAACCTTATATGAAACTGATATCAAACTTTTATTTTATGTTCTGCTAAATATGCCGGTGTGTTTACATTTTGTCACGTAAAAAATATTTATCTTATCGCAATATAAACATTGATCAATATATTTCAGGTTCATTTTGCTGGAATAAATATTGTTGAAGTACAGAACAAAATAGGAGTTATTTCCTGCGATAAAGAAGACATGCAACTTTTCGATTTTAGTGGAACTACTGATAGGTAAATATTTTTTTATTAACGATAAACATAGTTTAAATTGACTAGCAGATACTATTTACTAGCTCTTTGTCGTTTCAATAGCGGAGCTCGTGTAATGGGAATTGCCAATTATGAATCTATAAGAACTCATGTAAGCGTGAAACCGGAATATCTGTGGCCTGTGCCGGCACATTGGACTATGGAAGATGCAGCTACAGTTCCATTGGCCTACTGCCTCGCTCTTTATTGCTTGGTACCAAATTTCATGAAACATATTTATATACCATATAATATTAATTTTCAGTGAATTTCATCTTTTTATTTTATATTTGCGTGCAGTGTTTTAAGGGACAGTTCCAGCCTGGAATAACAATTTTGGTACATGGAGGCGCTGGTGCTCTCGGCCAGGCAGTTATATCAATTGCTTTGGCATATGGCTGCAACGTTTTTACTACTGTTAGCGATATCAACAAAAAGAGATTCCTGCAAAAACTCTTCCCAGAGCTTAAAGGTATGATTGATTGGCCATTGATTCTCTTCAAAATAATTTTATGAAAATAGGAGAATTCTCTAAATACATATTCCTATTACAGAAAGTCACATTGGAAATTCACGTGATATAAGTTTCGGAGATATGGTGATACACGCTACAAAGGGTGAGGGTTGTAATATAATCATAAACTGTGTTAAAAGTGCCCTTAAAAATGTAAGTATATCTGTAATGTATAAAAACACTAGTAGTGTTGTAATATAAAGAAAGTTTTGATAAAGATGTTTGGATATCTGTTGATCATAACTATTGAATAAATTTGAACTATGCTTGCTTTACAGGTATAATATACCATACCATAATAATTTCATACAATTCACCATAACACTTTCTTTTTTTATTTATAGTTATTTTGCAAAAAATCGTTTTTAATCAAGTGGGCAAAGTGACAGAAAGTTTCAATAATTGTATAAGCAGTGGCGACAAGTTATCTTTTTTATACAAAACTCAGTTATATACTAGATTTTGCCCAGTGGTCGAAACATTTACTAATAAAAATTTGAGGAAAACCTATATGAATAGAAATTAAATATAATAAAATTGTAACCAAGCCGAATCTGTACATTAAATATTTTTTGGATAATCTTATTGAAATAAACTTTATTATCGATACAGAGGACGAATCTATAGTTTTTAGAATTTTTGTCTGTCTATCTGTCTGTTACTGCATCACAAAAACCTATTGTAGAGATTTTGATGAAATTTGGTATGGTGATAGAAAGATAATAGATAGTAAACAAAAAAAGAACACCGTTTGCAAACCGATGAGAAAAAGGCACTGAGCTGTTTTAGAAACTGTAAGAACTGCTGTAGAAGATTTTATAATCCTTCATTACTAGAGTATATCTAAATAACTTTATTTTATATCTCTTAAAAATAATAAAGGAATGATAAAGGAATTTAGTTTATACGTTAATTTAGATTAGACGTTACTGAATACGCTTCTATTAATTTAATAAATAACCTATATTCATATAACTTTTTTTTATAATAATATAGTAATAACTTTTAATAAAATTGAATACTAATAAATAACTACATATATCAATTAATTCGATTCATTTTTTAAAATAATTTCAGACTACGATTCTGTGTGGCAAGCCGGCAAGTATTGTAATTGATACAAACTTACTATTCACTAAGGAAAATTATGACTTAGGCATGAATTTTATGGGAAACGGATCATCTTACTGCACCATAAACTTATTGTCAATTTCTTGTCTTGACGTGAAGGAGAAGAAGATGTACAGGTACAAATAAGTAAAATATATGTTGGAACTACGATGATTTTCCTGATACTAAAATATTAAATCAGAATTGTTCATCCTAATTTATAGTTAAAACTAGCAGAACACGCGACTTCGCTTGCGTTAGAACTACAATTTTTTTTCTTTAGCTTTATGTTATAAGTAACTCATGGAGAAACAGTCCCGGTAGCACGCCCTGCGCCATGCGCCCGAAGCTCTATTTTACTCTGTTGCGGAATGATTTTGAAAAAACTGTGATACATGTGTCTCATAATTTTAATTGAAGAGTATGTGTACCAATTTTCGAGTTAATCGCCCCAGAAATAAATAAGTTTCACAGAAAATTCAACCTCTCATTTCACCCTCTTGGGGGTAGAATTTCAAAAAGCTCTTTCTTAGTTATTACTACATTTTCTTAGGTTCTTACTACACTTTACAAAGCATACAGCCTCTACATTTCTTGCCTTTAGACAAGAAATTTAGAGGAATTACGAAATACGAAATATGTATGTACATCTTGCAGCAAGGATGAAACGTGTGTCTCCGACCGCATAATATTATATTCCATCGTGAACTTGTTTTCATCTTTTTATTGGCTTTTATGCAATCGGATTTTTTATTTTTATAATATATTGTAATATTTATTAAAGATATTATGGAAAACAAAATTTGTAGCGATCGTAACTCAAAATATCCTATATCTGAAAAGGTATTTTACATATTATTTGTATGTATGTATGTATTAAGTTTTTTGTATTTTGTATGTCATTATTTGCACCTAGAAGTATTTAAGTATTTGATTTGATTTGAAGTATATGAAGGTTTTTAGCGAATATGTAAGAAACGTGCTAACCCTTATTGATTTATTTATTTTTTGGGTGTGGTGCCGAGGTCGGCCCTAGCTACGTCGACCAGTTATGGTCTATTGTAGCTCCCTTTCGAATGAATTAAAGTTCTCCGCTTAGTCCTGTTGACTTCAGGAACTTCCAGATTTTCTGAGCGGGGAGCATCTGTATCTCTTCTGGTTGCATAATATGCTGCCCTAGATAGATACTTCTGCGGTGCATGAGTCACCGCACGAGCAGAGGATGTGCATAGCAGTTCCCTCTGTCTCATGGCATAGTCTGCACATTGCGGTCTGACTGAGGCCGAGGGTAAACATATTTTTATTGAGTTTGCAGTGACCTGTAAGTATTCTGGTTACCGCACTAGTTTTATAATTGTTGAGTTGAAGCAACTCTTTTGTAAATGTTTTGCGATATCCCTTAGTTAGCGCTTTAGAGTGTGTTTGTCCAGAAGTGGATTGCCACTCTTGAAGTGCTTTGAGATTGCAGTGGTTTTTGAGAATTGAATAGGCATGTTGTTTGGCAATACCACAAAATGGCTCGGGGCCATATTCTGGGGTTTCAGCGCCCCTTCTTGCCAAAACATCAGCCTTTTCATTCCCGTCTATACCTGAGTGACCCGGGACCCATCTGAGGGTAACTCTGTTTGATGTGCCCAGGACATTCAGATTATCCATACAGTCTTTGACCAACTTAGAGTTGGTCTCAAGAGAATCTATAGCCAAAACTGCTGCTTGGCTATCTGAGTTGATGTAGATATTTTGGTTCTTAAGCTTTCTTTCCAGGATGACTTCAGCACATTTGTTAATGGCGAAGACCTCTGCTTGAAAGATGGTGGCCTCTTTGCCCAGATTGATACACATGTTAAATCTAGGCTTAAGGCCATAGATACCGCACCCTACATCAGATCCTTTCTTGGATCCGTCTGTAAACCAAACATGACTGCCCTTTTTGTGAGACTCTTGGTCTTTTAGCCACATGTCCCGGTTGGGAAGATCTATTTGGTACTGTTTTGTGAAGTTAAATTCTGTGCTCATGCCATCCACTGGCATTTTTAGAGTTTTATGTTCGAATGTCAACTCTTTGAGATTGTTCATATATTGCGATTGCAACCTTACATTCGATTGTGTACAGAGCCTGTAGAGGCAGGATTTAGCTTCTTTTTGCACGTGGAGATATAGCGGAGCAATGTCTAACAAAGCATTTAGAGCGTCTCCTGGTACCGAATAAAAGGCTCCCGTGATAATTAGACATGCCATCCGTTGCACACTGTCTAGTTTACTTATAGTTGTCTTTTGTTTGGTTTTGTTACACCATACAACTGAGGCGTATGTTATGATCGGCCTTACCACAGCGGTGTACATCCAGAGAGCCATTTTGGGTTTGAGACCCCACTTTGCTCCAGCCATTCGACAACATATCCAAAGGGCCATTTTGGCTTTTTTTATAATGTTGTTAAGGTGAGAGTTCCAGGTCAACTTTTAATCAATAGTGACTCCAAGGTACTTTACCTCATTTGATAGGTTAAGGGTTTTGCCATTGAGTCTGAGTTCAATCAGCTTTTCAAGCTTCCTTTTCCTGGTGAATGGTACAATAACTGTTTTATCCGGGTTTATTGATAATTCATTTTCTCTACACCATCTTGTGATGGTGTTGAGAGCCCTTTGTAACTTGGTGGAAATTGTGTTAAGGCAGGGACCTCTTACTACTACAACAAGGTCATCTGCATAGCCTTGTGTATCGTAGTCGAGATCCGCCATGATTACAAGTAGTAGGTCTACAGCTAGTGTCCATAATAGGGGTGAAAGTACTCCTCCTTGCGGACAGCCTCTGGTAGTGTAAAAGTTGTGCGAGTGTTCGTTTAGCGTAACTTTTGCACACCGGTTGGAGAGCATATATTCCACCCATCTGGTGGCTGTGACATCAACACCTTTTGCATTTAATCCTTTCAGGATGGTTGCCGTAGGTGTGTTGTCAAAGGCCCCCTCAATGTCCAAAAACGCACATAGAGCTGTCTGCTTCTCCTCTAGGGACCTTTCTGCCTTGTCAATCAGAGCTACTAAGGCAGATTCTGTGGATTTACCCTTTTGGTAAGCATGTTGATTGCAGGAGAGTGGTCTAGCCACAAGATACCTTGTTCTAATGTGCTGATCGATTACTTTTTCCATTGTTCTTAGTAGGAAAGAAGTAAGTACTACTACTAGTTCTAAAGGATTTGGGCTGAGAGTAGTCGTTTTTACCGATCTTCGGTATAAAGGTAACCTTGACCTTAGTCCATTGTTCAGGTATAATGCCCCAAGCAAAGCTTGCTCTAAATATTTTACCAGATGCGGGATACGGAGTTCCATGCCCTGTTGAAGTAGGGCTGGAAAAATTCCGTCTTCCCCTGCTGATTTAAATGGTTTGAATTTTTTCAAAACCAATCTAATCTGGTTAGGCCTAAAAATGGTGTTGGCCATCTTTCAGTCGCAACTATTTGCCCTGTGGATGTAGTTTTCCTTTGGGTTTGATTCACTGCCGGAGACAGGGTACGATCCTGGCAAATGGGTTGCTCTTAACAGTTCCAGCGTCTCCATCTCTGTGGTCGTGAAGGAATTGTCTCGCTTTTTTAAGAAGCCAAGAAAGATGTTTGGTGTCTTGGCAAGGACCTTGTGGATTCTCGCTCCTTTATGTGTTTGGGCGATAGTCTCACAGAATCGTTTCCAAGATGCTCTTTTAGCTTTTCTGATCTCTTTATGGTATTTAGTCAGAGCCTTCTTATACTGTTACCACCCATACGGTGTAGTGGCCTGATTAAATAAGCGACGTGTGGATACTCTAAGTCGTTCTAACTTTTTGTTCCACCACGGAGTATTGGTGTTAACCTTGAGTTCCCTAACAGGACAACTATTTTCATAGGTATTTAAGATGCCAGCAAGTTGTTTAAAATGTTGAGGGAGTCTGACTGAATGGGAGGGTGTCTTTATTGATTTTGGGAAATCCTTAGCTGCCTCAGCGAGCAGGTTTTTGAAGTCTACCCACGAGGTAGCTTTGGGGTTTCTAAGCCTTATAGGTTCAGTGGTTATTGAGCCTTGTATGCTAAAGACAATATGTTTGTTATCAGACATAGAGTTTTCATTACTGACATGCCATTTATTTAAATTTCCAAAAACGATTAAATATGTATTTAGTTTTGCTGAGAAGCTTTAATATTAAATTTGATTCTTCTTACTCCAAAAGTAACGGACTACTCATATAAAATTTCAACCCCTATTTCGCCCTCATATTAGACAGACTTTAAAAAACGCTGAAATACATATTTATTTATTTCTAACCAAAAGTTTATACATGAAATTTCATGCTTGTAACTTTGAAAATGACGGATTTCCATGGAATTGTTAATGCCTTATTTGACCCCTTTAGTGGTGGAGTTTCGAAAAATTCTTCCTTATGGATATGATATGGATATGGATATGATATGGATATGGATGGATATTTAAATCATAAAATGTTTCAACTGCCAAAATTTCAAGTTATTAACCCCGCTGGTGTAGGCTCTGCATTGATAAGTCAGTCAGGAGAATATAGATGACTATAAATTTAAAAACTTAATGTTTAAATCAACGTTGTAAATCTCATTTACAATTATTTTCATTTCTGAAGTATACAGTTTCATCTATTATATTTCTATAAAACTGTGAATTTAGCAAAAACCAGGAATCGAAAATTGTCACTTAATACTTTAAATTAATTTTATAGAAGTTGCCGTTAATGCTTACCGAGGGTATTGCCCGTGGATACGTCCGGCCACTATCTCGTGTGACGTATTCCCCACAAGATGTAACACGTGCATATAGTCTTCAAGCTGGAAGCCGTCATCGTGGACGTGTACTACTCGACTTACAAAAGGATCTATCTCATGTTCAGACAAAGTAAAATTATTTTTATTCATCAGTCATATTACTTAAAATGTAAAAGTGAAAAAATTAAATATTTATTATTTTTTAGATTAGCTTGTTCTACTCAACTACAACAGCTGGTAATATCAGAGAACGAATTGATGGCATTAAAATTAGTCGACAGACTAGTGTACCGTGGAGCTAGAAAGATAATACTAGTTTCTGCATGTGAATCATCAAATTGTCTATCCCAAAAATTACGGTATTTCGCATAATTATTTACAAAAAAAACGTGTGTGTGTACGTACGCACGTTAGAAGTTGTACTTCTTTTGCGTAATAGAACAAAAATTTCTAAAAGGAATACAGCTAACTTCATCATGTTGCTTTCAGATAACTTTATCATGTCGCTTTTTGGCTGTCGGTGTGCGCGCCCATCCTAAATATTTTACTCTCATATTTTTTTCCAAACGTGCCAAAAGAAGTGTAACTTTAATAAATTATATAATTTACAAATATTGTAATTAATTACTAAAACGAATTTTCTAGAACATGGGTTAAACAAGGAGTACATGTACAAGTGATTCCTGAAAATATGTTTAGTTCAAATAGCATTATCAATTTACCTACTGAAGATCAGTCGTTTGCAGGCATTGAAGGAATATATTACATAGTTTCTGCAAATGCAATAAGTGAGAATAGTTACGAAATATTGGAGCAGATCAAACTAATATCGCAAAAATTATGCTCAAATTTAAAGTAAGTATTGTATATAATATTATATTTTAACGAAATTAGATATTGTAAGAATTTAATTACTTAAATAATTTTATTCTAGATATTTTGCTATTATTAACGACGGAAAAGATGATTTTGAAGGAACAGTTTTATCTAAATTTGTTGACAATCAATTACTAACCTGGATTAAGCTGCCTGCTATAAAAATGGTACATAAGGTAAATACACCTTAACTATGCCTTTTCTATCTAATAGCTACATTTTAATTAAAATGTCATCATAAAGTGTAGTACTATTATAAAATCTTTTTTTTTTCAGATTAATGAAAATGAATTAGATGAAGCTATTTCAGCAGCAAATGCGATTGATGCCATTGAAAAAGCAATTTGCCTGAAAAAACGGGCTATACTTATACATTCCTTAAAAAAATCTCATGCTAGGTCCTTGGTACATGAATTAAGTTCAAAAACAGGTTAAATACTTTAATAACGTTTTATACCAAAACAGTTATTATACTTTGCGATATTTGAATTAGTTGATTTTTATAATTGTGTTAATATATGTTTTCAGGCATAAATATACCAGATGATATACCAGAAAGTACTTTTATAGCAGATTTGGATATTGAGCCTGTTAAGCTAGCAATATTTAGGTCTTATTTGTATAATACTTATAACATATTCTTAAACGAAAATAGTCTACCAGCCTTGACTATTAAATCGTAAGTATTTTGATTTTTGACTATTAAATCGTAAATATTTCGCCCAATTTATTATATTTGCGTTTTATGTTTTATTAGACTTCGTCAATTAGAAGATAAGTTGACAGAAAAAGAGTATAAAGAAACTAAAGGATTCGACACATTCTGGTCAAATATTGATAATGATGAGCTGCTTGCTACAACCGAACTGGTGTTGTTACCGACACTGATAATCAGTTCATTGATGGTAAGTAAACATGTAACCCACAAACCATCTACATCTACTGAACCAAAAAATGGATTTTGTGCCCATGTTCGTAGTTATATTGTATATTTACAAGTCTAATTAGTAATTAATAATGGGTGCAAAGTCACAAAAATAATGTTCGTTCATCTCTATAAATAAAATTGAATCTCCGAAATGTATGTACGCGCATAACTTCCGATCGACTGCACTAAATTGCATAATTCTTTTTTTTTTGTTTGTTATTGTCAGGACAAGCTTTGTATAGAAGTAAAGTAAAAAAATACTAAAACAAGATTTTTTTTAAATCTCATGATGTGAAAAGTGTGAGTAAAATAGTTTATATCCCGGAAATCATCCCTTAAAGGGGTGAGAATGGGAATGAAAGTTTGTATGGAGAGGCAGGCTAGGGATGAACCCGAGCGAAGCGAGGTTGAGGCGCTAGTAGTAAAATAAGAAAGAACATACTCGTATCAAAATATTTAAATAGGACAATTTTTTGTGATATTGCCACCATGATTTTATTTTCAGAACAGATAGTGCATGAAGAAAATGGTATTTAATATTCATATATGAAGAGAATTCTTTAAAAAATAAAATATATTAGCAATATAGTTCGTTTTCAAGATATTTTTCGAGGTTATTGTATCATTAAATAAGAACTTTAAATACTTATTTATACGTGTAAGGTTGTATTTAATAAGTATAGGCACGAAAATACTAACTTAAACGATGCAGCCAATATCAGCTTCAGTAAAAAAAGTATGTGTATGTCAGCTCCGACGCATGACTGAAGTTTACGCCTACAAGAAATAGAATATTTGAAATTTTATTATAAAAATTAAATTAATAATATATATATAAAAAAATGTTTTATAATTAATATATCTTATATATTATATTATAATTAATTTTATAATAAAAATGTTTAAATCATGTTTTTTTCGTATTCAACTATGCAAACCCTTTCATTTGATATCCATATCATGGGGGTGCATAAAAAAACAGTCTATCATCTTTGGGAGTCCGCCATATTGGATTTACAATGACATAAAACGTAACACAGATTTGACGTTTTTATTAATTTCACTTCTTATAAAATTTCCATACCAGGGATCTTATATGAAAATCGATTCTTTAGGAGTAAATTCCAAAAATTTTAACCCTTCACCATGATCATCCATGATTTTAGCGCGAAGATGAATTTGATGTAAATCAAACGTACTTGTGCGTGGTACCAGGAGTAGAAGGTCTTCATTCACGATTCCAAATTCTGTGTGAGCGCCTAAAGTTACGTGCCCTCGTATTGCAGCCTGGCCTTGTTAGACCTAACGAAACGATTCAAGAAATGGCTGACAGATTTGTAAAGGTTAGTAATTCATTTAGTTCCGAAGTTCAACTTTTGATATGTAGACTGAATTAGTCAAATCAATATGAAGCATATGAATTATAATGTAAGAATCAATATTTTTGATTAATTTACAGTACAGGCTTTTCTACTCGAATAAAAACCTTCATATGGACTAAACTCCAACGTGCAATGTAAAATACACACAACTCTGTTAATATCGCTCATTTAGACCCCAGCAGAATCATAATGTCTTTGTATTCACTATTCACCAAATTCTTAACCGTTATTTACAGACCCTTCTCAAAAAGACGCGGTTGAAAAATAGATTTTACTTACTGGGTTATGAAACTGGTGTTATGGTGGCATTAGAAATGGCGGCAATTTTGGAAAATCAAGGTGAAATATCTTTTAATTTTCTAGTTTATAATATAATACTTTTTAAATTGGGTTTTCAATGACCAAGTTTAAAAAAATCCTTCAATTACTCAAAAAACTAACACTTATTTTTAAGCCTTAGTTTCTTTAAATAAGTAACCATGACCTATAGCACAGTATAAAATCCCATACAGTAGGATCATCGACGTTATTGATTTTAATAGAAATGCGGTCAAATGCAAGGGTTGTCGAAAAATACCAATTATTATGGGTTTTCATGTTAAAAAGATATAGTATAATCTTGTGACTAGTTACAGTTATACCCGTCAACTCTAAAACCGCTTCCCAGCTATCATGTAAAAGTAAATATGACAGTCATCCACCTATCAACTCACACGCCCCATATAATGCCTTGCCTTTATTAGACAACTATATGTATTTGTAGACTGTGTCTATAGTAAACATTATAGTAGATTGTTTAAAAAGTATACTCACTAAAACATAAGTTAAAAATAAATATAAGTTATATTTATACTATATTAATTATAAGTTATCAAATCATTCAGGTGTAACTGGCACTGTATTTTGCATTGGCGGTGCTCCTAATGAAGTGCAAACGGTAATTGAGGAAAAGCTTGAAAATTACAATACTGAGGAAGAACTACAAAATGCCGTTATACGACATATGTTTAGTTTATTTTCTAAAGAAAATACGTTGGATTTAGACAAGGCTCTACAAGAAAGCTCGACGTGGGTAGAAAAGGTGTCGCTAGCCACACGCATTTTATGTGGCCAAGTTAGGCATTCAAATGAATATACAAAGGAGCTCATAAGTGCGGCATATTCAAGAATTGTACAAGCTCGTCGTTATAATGCTGAACCCCGTCAACTTCAGTCTCTTTTAATATCGATCCGGCCTTCATCGACCCGTGATCGGCATTTGAATAATAACCTGCCCTCTTTGCAAAACTATTCACTACGCAAGGTAGTCGAATATCAATTGGAGTCTCCATTTGCTTATGCTGCCTATGACTTGCGTTGCAGTGCGATAGTTAATCATCATCTTGATGAAGATATTCTGGAAGCTTTTGATAAAATAAATTTGTGCGAATCATACCTTATAAATGCTAACTCATATATGTCAAGGCAATAAAGTGCCATCGCCAAAGAGAAATACAAACTGTTTGATTGATGTCTTTGGATTAAGCTCTGTTATTTAATAAATTAATGCATATTTCAATGTTTGTTTTTTACAACTTCTTCAACTATACGCGTCTTTAAGTTGTAAAAAAAAACCTGCAAATAACAATTCATTTATTCTCAGCCTTCTAAGGTATCACGAGATTATCACACTTCAGATCTTGAAAGAAATGTAGTAACGTATACAATATACATCATAACCCATAATGCATTAAAAATTGTTTTGAAAAATTAAAATACTGTCTGTATGGTTATTGTTTTTAAATTTCGAGATAAATTCATAATAGTTGTTTCTAACTGTCTTTGATAAAGAATAAGAAGGCTTTCTTAGTATTTTGTCTCATTCCCACTTTCTTGAAAGAATCTTAAAAGTATTATTGAAGATCTAATTTTTACTTCGATCAACAATACTACTAGATATCGGGTCGGTGTAAGAAATCTGTCTCTGAAAATATAAGCTCACTTGCAAAGTGAGCGTATATTTTGATTAGTTCTATTGAAACACTGCCAACGTAAACACGTTCACAATGCCGCATTATATATTTTAAAGTTGCAAAAATAATGCGCGAAGAATAATTTTTTCAGACGGAGTGTACATGTAGATTAAGTCAATATTTTAAGATTTAACCTACGAAATAATATAATAATGAAATTTTGAACAATTTTAAATCCGCTAAGAACATTGGCCCAGGTCGACCAATATACGCGTGTAGGTTTTAGTGCTGTTGCGTCCTCGCAAGAAGCCAAACTAGTTGTTAGGCAATCAAACAAATTGAAAACAAATATATTTTTAAAGAAAAATCCCATCAAAAACATAACTGTAAAAATATTGCAAGTCTCGCAACGCATTTCTTCTACAGAAAAAAGCTATGAGATATAATGTAAAACCATGTCGGTTAATTTATTCAATACCTATCTATGGAAGCATCTATCCGATAACTTTGTCATAAATCGTTACCGAATTAGTTAAATTACAACATTTTATAGTGACCGTATTAATATTAGATATATTTATTTCTTTAATTAATAGAATGACTTGGCCATCGCACATGATTACAAAACCTACAAATAACAAAATTTACCTAATATTAACGTTCTGAGTGTTTTTAATGGGTTCTCATTTCTTTTCGTAAATATTTCTTGTTTTTGTCTTTTCTTGTACTGATGATGATGATGTTGTTCTCCTAGCCGATTCCGGCTACGGCGGCCAATCTCATTGAGACTACAAACTGCGCAGGAGATATTATAGTGCACAAGTGTACGCGCAGACACAACGTGCACTCTCTATTCCTGTCACTCTCATACTCCGGTGGGACGACTGCTCGACACGACCGGTGAGAGTTAAGGCGCAGGACCGACGGCTTTACGTGCTCTCCGAGGCACGAGGGTGAAACACCGCCAACTTCCCAACTCCGGGCTGTTACTGAGACTTACTATACAGAAAGACTCAATAACTAAACTTGGCCCGACCCGGGACTCGAACCCAGGACCTACGAGTGTGCAGCCGTACTTGCTAGCCGCTACACCACCGAGGCAGTTACTTGTACTATTTCTTGTGTGTCAGCTAAGGACTTTTTAAAAGCCCACTCCCTGTCTCTGTGGGCTTTTTTCAGAGGCTGTGATATAACAAATTTTGACAAGTCTGGATGATAAAAAATCTAAGTTTAAATACAACAGTATTCGGAAATTGCGAATTCCTGGGATTCAATACTACTATCTTATGCATTATATTTGACGTAGATCAGTTATGTTTCCTATTGGTTTTTTGTATACTAATTCTTTCAAGTATCCCCAATAAAAAAAATCTAAGGGATTCAAATCGGGGGAACGTGCAGTCTACTCAATCGGGCCAAACCGACTAATCCATTTATTAGAATACTCAATACTAACACTAAAACATTTTAAACTAAAACAATTTTCATATTTTGAATATGAAACGAAAGATTTATTGGTATCTTGGACAATACAATAATATTTGGAAAATTCAATCGTGTTTTTATTTCCGGATCAGTTGTACAGATTGGTCTCACGAATCGCTAGGGATTAGAAAGAAATGTTATCGAGAGTCTTAAAAGCTTTTGCTGCTATATGCTATAAATTAAAAGATTAGTTACGAGCTAGTGTGCTTAACAGTTATGAAATGAAATAAACTTTATTCAATTAGGCTTATTACAAGCACTTTTGAATCGTCGATTTAATTTAAGCGTCAGTGTAATCAGTCGTGAGGAAGCTACCACCGGCTCGGAAAACAGGTCTGCTGAGAATAGCCTGCGAGAAGTTCAACAGGTTCTCTTTTAAATATCGAAGTTACATTTGTGTATATTTTTGACATAACAATATAGATAACCTGCATACGAGTCAATATTTTGCAATTCCGCACATTTCCATAAACAAAAAATTCTTGAACAAAGTACTATACTTTGCTCAATAAAATATTTTGAATTTTAATCTTTAAATTTTTAAAAAAGGAAATCTATCTAGGACCAAGAATAGATCCTTGTGAAATACCTATTTTTAAAGGAGATCCAGAAGATTTTACATTATTTATATCAACCCGTTGGATTCTCTGATTGAAGTACAAAGGACTGACAGCTTTACGAGCTCTCAAAGTCACGGGCATTGGATGGTATTACACCATCAACTATTGTGGACTGTTAATGAATATTTCGTCACAGATACATATTATTCTCAAAACCAATACTATTTTTGGCTCTATCTGTACTCGAACCTGGGATCTCTGAATCTACAGCCGTGTCACTTGTCCAATAATTTCCCAGTATTTTAAGGTACAAGGTATTTTGTATCGTTACACATGGTTAGATTTGTTTAGATGAAAGGGTAGGCAATGAAAGGAAGATTATACCTTAAAAGCTTTTCAGGCATTATATCTATTGCTAAGTCTATTGGCACTAAATTCAATTTAAGTCCAATGAAAATGAAATTATATTTTAAATATTAAAATTATGTATAGTGAGCGCCTGTGGTTTCTTCCAATTATACTTTACACGTGGACAAATGTTTTTATTTTCCCTATGTGTTTGATAAGTAAAAAAGTACCGGACGCAGAATATACATACAGATGCTCAGATTTGTCCAAATAGGTTCTATAGCTTGCATACATATAATACGTGTGTGCGTGTGTATTTGTGTGTGTTTGTGTATATTTGTGTGTGCGTGCATGTATGTGCGTCTGTGTGTGTTTGTGCTTGCGTGTGTGCGTGTGTATATGTGTATGTGTTTGTTACTTTTTCACATTAAAAGAGCTGGGCAGATTTTAGTGTTTGTTTTTAATTAGATTATTATAAATATTGTCTGTTTGCTTCTTAGATTTTTGTTAAAACTATCGATGAGGGCCGTATGCGGTTCACATGTTGCATATTACCAAAGCTTCAAATATCTCATCACGAAAACACACCATTAGGCTTAATGTAGAAATAATCGCTTTATGTAGAAATATCGTTTTTTTCTTCCTCTATTCAATTTTATATTTTTAAATACATACTAAAAAATGTCTAAACTATTACTTCCTTTATATTAGCGTTACATGAGTAATTATTTTATCAACTATAGCGTAAGCCTCATAATGTATTCATATAACATAGTCTAAAGATTTTTTCTACAAATATTAGTAATAAATAAATAAATTAAGACGTAGTAAACTTACTAGAACTTAGTAAAAAGACTTCAAAATTACTTAAACTGAGTAATCACTATGTACATATATTAATAAGCTGTGTCATAAAACGTAAACTATTAAAATAAAATTACCCATGACCATGATTGTTGTAAAATGTGAAAAATTTGAATCATCGGGAACCAAAAATCAAAATAAATATGCGAAAAATCCGAAAAAATAGAAAACCACGTGCAAAGTAAGATCCGATATAAAATGTGACATACTTGCGTAAATCAAAGAAAATCTGTTACGTAAATTATTCGTTGTAAATCTATTCAAAATTGCGAAGATAATCTATACCATATACAAAAAAAAGCCAAATCGAGTACTGCCTTTATTTGAAGTTAGTTAAAAACGAATTAAGGCATGAAAATGTAGGGCGTAGAGTTTATTATATAGAAGTGGTTTATATTATATAGAAATGAAATACGATCGTAATGCAATAATCTCGTGTTCATTGAGAAATGGAGAGTGCGAGGTTATGAAAGCATTTATTCAACGGTATAGGATGAGATTTTTGTAGGATATATGAAGCTTTAGGTTTAATATTTAAATAACTTATGTGGATATTGCTTATACGCTTGAGTCTTTTTTTCTGCGCTATTCAAAATTAAGAGTGCTTCGTATTGAGAATTTCTCATTAAGGATTATTAAATTTAACTTTAAAAATAATTAGTATTCAGCCCTTTATAACGTCCTACTGCTGAGCACGGGTTTCCATTGAGTAGGAGGGGAACCAGGCCACAGTCCACCACGCTAGCCAAGTGCGGGTTGGCGGACTTCAAATGACTTTTGAAAACTTGCTAGGTTCTCTCAGACATGCAGGTTACCTCACGATGTTTTCCTTCACCGTTAAGACAAGTGAAATGTTGGAAATGATTCGCATATAAAATATCAGAGGTGCGAGATCCGGGATTTGAACCTGCTTCACTCGGTTTCCCGAGCGAGCGCGTTACCACTGAGCCTAAAAAATAATGAAATAAAGCAATGGTAACCCAGTGGAAAAACGCTCGCTCACTAATTAGCTTAATAACTCATAACATATGTATACAAAAAAGTAAAAAACTAAAAATTAACTATTAATCGACTTATGTCAGTATGATTGTTTATGTACATGAAGGTTACTTTTATGTGCGCCACTTATACCTAAATGTGCATTTAATTGAGAATATCATCTATATATAAATATACAGACAAACCGTTCCTACTTCTTTTCTGTTTGTCAACCGGTTTTCTATAATTTTTAGCTACGTTTTTAGAGCTTTTAAGTATCT